AAATAGAAGCATTAAATATATGATTTGCACCAATATTAAGAGCTGATTTGATTGTACAATGAATTATTAGATCTAAATGATATAAAGTCAACCAAACTTTTGAAAGCCCTAATTCTAGGCCAATAATTAGTTCATAATTTATATATGTTAGTGTTTAATCCATTTGATAGATATTATGGTTAAAAAAATTTATTAGCAAATAAGAAAAAAATGCCAAAGTTGGTCAAGTCAAAGTAAATATATAGGAAATCTGGTTTGAGTGTCCAATAAATGCTTATAATTTTCCCATCAGTTTTGCCAGTCACAAGACAGTAACTAAGTTATAAATATAAACCCCAAACGTTTGAATTCTGAAAATATGTTTAGATATTGTTTAACTTGTACATTTAATGCTCTAGTTTGGCAAAGAACATGAAAAAAAGTAATCATCAAAGTAAGTAAAAATTGGCATAAGAAATATAGAGGCAAAATATATTGGTTTGCCCAACCAGTTTAACAAGCACGAAACCTTATAAGAATAAAAACTTTCACTTCACGCATTAACAGTAAATTAGCAAACTGTCCGATACACTAATTCTGAAGCTTATAACGTAGTGCATATGTTTTATGGTCATCTTTTAGTATAGAACATTAAAAAAAAAGTAAAATAAGAAAAAATGGGCATCATGTTAGAACATAATATATAGAAGCCCAAAGCAATTATTCAAATGATATAATTGTTCAGAAGATAGGTGAAGATCGAGAGTTTCGCTAGTGATAGCTAATCTATTCTTAGCTGGGAAATCTAAAGTTAGTTAATCATTCTGGATGTTGTTTCGATAATAGAATCTGGACGGAAAGGAAGAGAGGCGATGGTATTATCTTTTAATATTGTAATAATTTAAATAGCATCGAAATGTTATTTATAATTCTAACAGTATATAATATTTTATATTTATATATATATATGTTAATGTCATAATGTTTTTTTCATTAATGTGTTATTTTTTAAATTTTAAATCATGAGTGCATATTTTTAAATTTTAAATACGATTCTACCTGAAATGTATTCCAGCATGTTTAAAAATGTGATTTTTTAAATATTTTGTTATAAATTTTTGAACTATAATTATATTAACCTTTATAGATTTTTATATATATATTATAGATGAATCATAGTTAATGGCGGTATTATCTGAACATAGGGTAAGTATTCTAAACATGCTGAAATACATTTTTGGTAAAATCTGAATCTTAAATACCTACTTTTCTGAATAAATTATTTTAAAATTTTATTATATCAAAAATAACATGAAACTACTAAAATAACTTTAAAAAAAGTAATTTAATGTTTATTTGTATGTTCTGCCTAAGGAATAAGAATTCCCTAGGTTCAAATGTTTTTAATTTAAAAATTTTAAAAAACAAAGTGATAGGAGTGTACCGTCCATTGGTAGACATTGCAATTAGTGAGAATACAAAATTGCTGAGACTTTTTTTATTTGTTTATTTTTTTAGTATATGCTTAAATAAGCAGGTTGCTGTATATATTGATGCGGAAGGATGAAATACATGGTAAATCACAAATATAGGATTTGTCAATAGCCTAAAGGATAGTAATCAGGCCTTCGGGTCTTAGGACATTATCTGTTGAGAGGTTGGAAGGTTCTAAAAATATTAGGTATGCGAGCCATTTTTAAAAGGAGGCGTAATAATTTGCTTATTGAAGTGTCGTTGATGTCAACCTTAACTTTTGATACAATTGAGACCATGCCTTTTTGGCATTTACTAGGTGGTTGCAATTCATTCAATGGGCTTAATTAGATGGCTCTGAGTCTATATCCTAAAGTTACTCTAGGTTATTCATTGGTTAAGAGATTCCTCTGGTTTTTTTTCGGCAAGGCTTCTTCCAGCCAATTGTGGCTTCCGATTTTATATTCTTTTTGAAATAGTTTAATGTCCTCAAGAGATGAATAGGAAGATATATTTGTAAAAGTTTTTGATATTAGGGGTGAAAAAATATTTTTTTGGGTCCCTATTTTGGAAAAAGTGCATCAGGGGAGAGACACTGTTTTGCCACATTGTGAGATCTTGATTTAGAAAGTTATCGTTAGGAAATATGAAACTTGATACTAGTGTATTTGTTAAATTTAAATATAGGAAAAAGGAAAGAGACAGGATATGGAGGGATATTATGTTTACCCCACTTTTTCAGGTAATTGGGCTAATTTCCAGTTGAACATAGTTAGATTTAGATTAAAAAAAATTTCAGGAAAGATTTAAAAAGTGTTTTCAAAATCTCTATAAGATTTTTCAGATAGAAAAACGAAGAGGATGGGAATAAATTAGAATTTTTTGGAATTATTTGGAAATAATATAACGACTCTGGCAAACTGGGAGTATACTTAAAATTTTTTTCCTTATTAAGGATATTGTTAAAAATTTTGGATAATGATGCCTAAGATGGGAGGATGTTTGATAGGGCTGATCCTAAGGTTTATACGGTCTACGATTTTATAGCCCGGTAACTATGTGTAATTGTTATCAAGGAAACAGATTTCTGTCATTGACTTAGAGTGAGTCCTATTGGAATTTGTTAGGGGAAATTTAAAACGTCTAATTTTTGGAAGGGATTCACAGATGGTTCTCTCACAAAGATGCCATATGTTTAAGTAAATTTGGATTTAAGGTCATGGATAAGGTCGTGTATTCCAAGACAGAATGGGCAGAGTAGGAGTGGGCCCCTCTACTAGATAACTTCGTCATGTGTGAATTAGAGATCTGCAATAGGCGGTTTATAGCCAAAAAGTACGCCCACTTGTTGTTTCCATTTATAAATTATTATGAAAGAAAAATATCATTTAATAAATTGAATTCTGATCTGCTAATTTCGCCAAAAAAATATTAAAATTCACTCGCCCACACCCGCTCAATACTTAAATTGTTTCTGACCTGTCCGCCACTTGTCCAATTTTGAAAATATTTTAGAAAACCCCGATCACATAGAAGAGGAATTTTAATGCCATAACATGTTTGAGGTAATTTTGATTAACCTGGGAATTTGTGATAAATAATATTTAAGAAATGTTTGCGAGATGTGCTATTTAAGGTATTTGTAAAATCAAGCTTGATAATTGCAGTGTTAAAATACGCTCAAAAAATAATTTATAGTTAAAAATATAACACATTGATGGAAAGAAGACATTGGCGATAAAATATTCACTTAATAACTTATTTTTAAAATTAATCTTATTAAAATAAAATCTATTGCCTATCACCTTTACCTATCAATCCCTACTTAAGCTCGTGGAATTTTATATATTTTTTAAATATCTTACATTTTATCCCGATAATGCATCATAAATAAACATTAAAAAAAAATCATATTTTTTAAGAACAGAAAGAAAATTTAGTGAATAAAATTATTAAATTCTTTCATGATTATGTTCATATCAGTCGATATAAGATTTTCAGAAAGTGCAAAATTGAAAATCAGATGTCTTCTTGATCTTTTACCTCAAAATATTGTAAGACATATAATAGAAGTAATAATAAAACTCGTGGGTAATTAAAAATGTAATGTTGATATTGAAAATCTCCATGAAATAGATTATTGAAGATTAGTGTGTCTGGGCCTCAGAAGTCAACATTTTCTTGCACCTTGTGGGCAAAATGTCCACTCGATTTTATGGTGGTCTGTCATCACCTGAACCAGCCTATTTTTCACTCAATTTATTTAGCTCAATCACGAACTATATATAACTGATTATAAAGATTTTCAGGGTAAGAAAGTTTCTCTTAATTATGGTAATGCCTCGGTATTTCGCCCTACCATATAATTTTTGCTTCATAGAAAATTTTAAATATTTTACGATTGGATGCTTTTCCTGAATTAGATCTTTAAAGAGGGATGCTCATAATAACCAAAAGCCAGGCGCTGACTGGTGACGCTACGGCCTCGTGGGCATTTTTTTATAGCGACCCCATTAATATGGGGGCTTCGCCCCCATACCCCTATTTTGCGGGCCTTCTGCCCAATTTTGGCCGGTCTTCGACCGGGTTCCCTTAAATGGCTTTTTCGATTTACATGATTTTTATTTTTGAAAATAAGTTCAAACGATTTACATAAAGAAATATATACGATAATCATATATTATATTTTTAAAAAATGCACATCTAAAATCATATTCATTCATTGGCGTACGCAGCGAGGGGGGGGCAGGGTGACAAATCCACCCCCCCCCCCCCCCCAAAGCCAAAAAATGCAGATGTTGGGTCAATCGATTCTTGTTTTTAGTTTGAAGATATGACAGTAGCCTCATTATTTCAAAATTTTCCAAATATATTATAGCTGTACCTAGAGTTAAATTTACATAAATTATCAAGTTTTTGTCTCAAATGATTTATTATTAATCCCAATACCCTATAATTGATTTAACTTCATATGTCTAAATAATGACGAATAAAATATCTAATAAAAATAAAATAATATTATTAAACTTGTTATTTTAGTCATCTAATGCCATTAATGCTTAATCTTCTAACAGATATAATTTGCTTACAACACAGCATAGGATTTGATTTGATTTCATGAAAATGTTCATCGTTTTAATTTGAAATAATTATTAACTAAATTTTTGAACACCTATTTACTTTAAAATGAATTCAAATAACTCACAATAACGAGTAAGTTTAGGTATTTTAAAAGTTTGTTCGCATATTGGTTTATAATTTTGGCGGACCCCTTTAAAAATAATTTAATTGATTAGTTCTTTATTTATTTTGATTATTATATTTTGATATTATTTTTTTAACTTATCTTATTAATAATCTATCTGTAAAATTTTAAGCTAATCAGCCCGCCCATAAAATATTTTCATCCCAGCACCCAATTTGTAAAGAGACCGCCCGCATCTTATTATAGTATGGGCAGACATGAGCAGACGGTAAAAACCTGAACGTGGCATAATTCGAGCTTAATATCATGTAAGGAAACATTATAATTTTCAAAATATACATACCCTAATTTGGTCGAACAGATACTTGTGAAGAGTTTGTTTTTTAACTAGTTTGATTGCGCAATGAAGTTTAGCCGTGTTGCCTGCGATGACAGTTACATTTCCAATTTTTTCAACGTAAAATATCGGTTTGTTATAGTTATTGTAACTGTTTAAGGAGTATACTTTTTATTAACAAATACGTAATATTATTACAATTTAAATGTTGAGGTATATAAAAATAACACTTTGAGACTATATTTCTTTCATTTCTCTTTCTTATCTTCCTTTAACTTTACCTTTCCTTATCTTTATAAACTAAATATTGAGTAGCCCCCCCCCCCATCAAAGTTGTTTAGTTAAGCCCCTTGAGATGGTAAAGAGTAGTGGGGTAACTGGTAGAATTAAAAGATTAGAGAGATATGGGAGGGTAAAATTAAAAGATTTATTTTAAATAGGGGTTTTAACAGGATTCGTTTTAAGCTCCTCATCACTAGATATTACCCTTCGTGATATTCATTATGTAGTAGCTCATTTCCACTACGTTATTTCTATATAAACAGTCTTTTCTATCTTTACAGGATATACCGCTAGTCTTCGGGGTCTCAACCCCTATAAAAATTAGTCTCCCCCAATTTTTCTTAACATTTATAGGGGTTAGCCTTTTTTACCAATCACTTCTTAGGATTTGCCGGTATGCCTTGCCGATACATAAGATTACCCCGATAGATTTACATTCTGAAATAGAAATTTCATCATTAGGCTCAATCATATCAACTATAGCTCTAATTATATTTATATGGATTTTATGGGATACTTTATCTTCTGATCGAAAGGTATCTATCACTTCAGCTTATTCTACTCGTCTAGAATACTCTATAGGATTTCCCCCTTCTACACATACTTTTAATGAAATATCCTCAATCTCTTTTTAACAACTTTTAACTAATTTATAGTTAAAAATGAACCCCTGACGTGCTTTATTCTTATAAGATATACTCTTCTCCTCCTCCTCAGAACACTTAATTATTTTACACCATTTCGCAATAAGATTTATTGTGGGTGTAACTATTATAGTACTTTTTATATGCTTCGCTGTGACAATCTCTAAAACCTTTGTGACTAAAACAACACACATAAACATAATTGAATTTTTATGGACAACTACCCCCATGCTAGTTTTAATGGCTATAGCATTACCTACTGTAAAGGTACTTTACTCTAATGAAGACTCCCATTGACCAGATCTTACCATTAAAGTTATAGGATCTCAATGATATTGAAATTATGAATATTCCAACTTTATAAATTTAAATTTTGATTTCTATTTAACACAAGAACCAGACTTAACGCCTAATAGACAAAGACTTCTAGATTCTGACAATCACGTAATTATCCCTTTTAAAATTATAACCCGAATAATTATCTCATCTAGAAATGTAATTCACTCCTTTTCATTTCCGCAATTTTCAGTAAAAATAGTCGCAGTGCCGTGACGCATCAACCAAATTTTCATCATACCCAAAAAGCCCCTAATTACTTACGGACAATGAGATAATGAGTTAGAGATAATTTCTGTTTAAAAATGTTTTTAGAAAATTGAGTCATTCTATAATGTGAGCGAATGCCTGATTTGAAACATTGATTTTTGCTAAGTTTTTTAACATTTTTTTATATAAGTGTAGTGTAGTTAAACGGATTTGGGTAGATTTTTAGAAACGCCCCGATTAAGATTCTAACAAAAATAATATTATGTAAACTCGTGATTTGACAAATAAAGATCCAAACCTTTCTGCCATCTATGAGCAAAATTTATAGGCTTATATAATAGTATATTGACTAAAATCTTTATTGGGCCGTTTTTAAAAATCGACCCATCTAAATTATTCCATAGATTTTTATTTTTGTTTTTTGGTGATTCTTTTTATGAAATTAATTTTGTAGGTTGTTTTGGTATAAACTCGGCTCACAAAATTAATTTCGTTTTATAGTTTGCAATTTAACATTATTTTTTAACCCCATAAGAATAAGCATTAAAATGTTTATCAATTACAATAAAGCAAATTTCAAAATAAAAAATTTGTATTTTCTCATATGGAGGAGTAGAGATTTGGGTCAATTCCGCTTTTGCCCTCACTTTCCCTGCACTTACATCACTGCTGAATATAAAACTATATTATATGATAAATAAAATAAAATAAATGAATTCAATTATCATTTGCCTGATTGGAAAAACTTATAAGCATATCCATTAACTATTTCAATTAATTTTTTATACTAATCTAATATGCTAATATGGAGTAATGAGACTTATCACCTTTCCTTAATCCACTCAAAATTTTAATTGTAAAGATTTTTCGAAACAACAATTGAAACATATAGTACATACGATTTTATGTATAAAAATCAATAAATAAAAAATATATTTTCAAAAAAATGTGTAAAATTGATGGGAAAGTCTCATAGTAGTTTCATACTATGAAATGGAAACATAAATATATATTACATAAATGTTATTGACAACTTATACATACTTCTATTTTATAAATCACAAGTATGTTTATTTTTGATACATTTGATATAGTCTATTTAAATCAATAAAAAAATCAGAAAATATTATTTCGAAAAGATATAATATGATATGAATCTCTCTAAGGAATTTTTAGATATTTAGATGGATTTGTATAATTTAAGATGGTTAATAAAGGAGTCTAAATGCACAATAGAATATAATCATAGACCATATTATATCATAATTTTTATATATAACAGTACATTTTTACAATTTTTTTGAAGAATATTTAACATATCCTAATCGATTTGTCTTTTGTCAATTTTTGATAATGTCATCTTATTTTAACAATAATCAAAAAGATTATTATTATAATCGTGTGATAAAATTTGAAAATAATAGAAATAAATCATTGTTATGTTTATGCTATGTAGGTTTCTTTAATGTGATAAACATTAATTTGAATTTAAATCCTTTAATAAGGAATGGAGACTTCATATAAACTTTTAGTTCGGGCAGTTAATTTTATATTAAATCTATTTTATAAAAAAATATTATATAATTCCCGCTAATATTATTTGTATACACATTTTTGATCTATTACTGTATATATTGTTTATACTAAATGAAAATGTGGATTTATCATTCATTATACATAGTAGTAGTCAATAATTAGATTAAAATTTATGGCGGCCATTCAACTTATTCTAAAATTAATATTTGATATTATAAAATGTTAAAATGAGTTTATCAATATAAAAAAATCTGTATATATTTATTTGTCTTATTATTTCATAAAATATCTTTTTTAAAATAAGCCGGGTTAAAAAATATTTTCAATAAACAAATTAAGTAATTTAATAAATAAATCATATTTGTTGAAAATATTTAAAATAGCTTTTTATGATATTCTTGCAAACTCACAAAATTTTTAACAATGACTTTTTCAATGTGGTAGAATTTTAGATTATTTAATCTATCTGGAGTTATTATAGATCACAAATAATTTTTAATAAGCTTTAACTAAAAAATGTTTCTTTCGGCACTAGCAAAATGTAAACACATACAGGGTTTCCCATTCAAAAAAAGGAAAAGTTTCAATCAAAGAAAGAAAAGTCCCAAAGGTTTAGGAAAAAGTTCGATCAAAAAAGGAAAAGTGTCAATCAAAAATAGAAAATCGTTATTTTTTTAAAAAATTAAAAATTTTTATTTTTCTTACTATAACTTTTCTCAATTTATTTTTCTTCTCATTTTTGATAATTCGTTAGTCTTTTTAAAAATAATTGATAAATTTTTGTTATTTTTCTTCAATTCTTCTACTCCATTTTTTAACAACTCTTTCCTCTTTTTTCATCCTACAATACCTTTTCTAAATATTATTTGTGAAATAAAGAAATACAATCAATTAAGCCGTGTTGTTGTGTTTTTATTTTTATGAAATATAAAGATTTTCATATGTAATCTAATTGAGATTATTAAGAAATAATGAGGGAAGGAGTATTTGCCGGTTTCATTGAGATTCAATGAGTAGCTACCAGAAAATTTTTGCATCATCTTTGGCTCCGTAATGTTCTTCCAGTGGGGGGAGGGGGGGGGGGGGGTCTGCTCCATTGACTCAAGGAGAGGCTTTCAGAGGGATTTCTGTTTTATTGACTCAAGGGTTATCTTCCAGGGAAGTTTCTGTTCTATTAGCTCAAGAGGTAGCCAGAGGGAGAGGTTTCTGTTTCAATAACCCAAGGGGTATCTTTCAAGGTTTCTGCTTCATTGGTTCAAGGGGTTTACAGGCTATAAACTAATAAAATACAATAGATAATTTGTTGCATTTACAGATTTGCAAAGACGGCCCAGCTCATTTAGAATTTTTATACAAGTTGCCCGGCACGGTCCGTTATTTCTCGGCCTGTTATAATATTTTTTAAATTGTAATACCCCTCTAAAATTTTACAAAAAATTAGTCCTGACTCGTTAAAAAATTAAAAGTCCGTCCAGGCCTATTAAAATTTTTATACGAATTTTCCTCTATCTCATTTTTAAAATCTATATCTAATTATTTCCCAATGTCATTTAAGGCTATTATATCTCTCCTCTATGGCTATCTTTTTTTTTATACAACAACCGTTTTATAAATCAATTGTATTTTCTGTATTGTGTAGGTTTGCTAAACTGCTCGATTTAAGCTTATTTATAAAAATGACTACCTTAATATTTTGTCTAGAAAAATATTACAAAAGCCTGAAGATTTTCCTCAAAATTGGCACAAATGTTTGGACATCTATGAGAGAAATAAGGCTTAGCCAATATTTTTCTGGCTAAAATATTTGAGTTGGCCGTATTTAAAAATAGGCTCAAATAGTGCCTTTTAACAATAGTAGTTGCATTGGATCCTATGATAAATAAATTGTTTAATATTTTGTGAATTTACTATATTATTTAAAGAAGACAGCTCTGAAAATACAAAGAAATATGCATATTGTTATTAATTTTCAATTAGTGTTAACCAAAATATTAATTTTAAATTTAAAAAAATAGATTAATTTTAATGGTGGGCTGGCCTATGAAAACTTTACTAAAAATCAGAGATTTGCGAGGCCCTGTTTAATTTTTGTATAAATTGCCGGCCATGCCAGAATTTTTTATATATGAATTCCCCGTCCAGGTTTATTAAAAAAAATTTGGATAATTTTTCCTGCCCGCTTCTTTCTTTCTTTCTCCGGGTTTTTGGACCAACTTTCCAGATCTTTAACTGATATAAATTTTATGTTATTAATTAAATTATTAATAAAACATATACACACTTCACACATCCCTAATTTAAAGATATCATTTATAATTTACTTTGTTAAATAAATATATAAACCTATATCTACAAAGGCGGACTTTTTCATTTGATGGGGCTCAATTATGATCTGTAAAAACTACATATAAGAAAAAGAGAGATGTTGAAAAATAGCAATTAGATTGCAATATGGATAAAATGACAAAAATATATATTGTTATATTTAATTTAAAAAAACATATTTTCTTATTAGGTCCCAAAGAGCCAAAATTGTTATGGTTCGGATCCCTGTCAGTTTTATCAATCAGTTTACCTAAAAAATCTGTCAATTTTATTAAATTTACTTTCCAAAAAAATCTTATTTTTTAGAGCAGAGTATAAAAATGAAAATATGTATTAGATTTAGAGACCCGCAAGTACGATCCACCGTGAAAATTTATAAAAAGGAATCTCAGCCCAACCCGCAAATTTTGCCCAACCAATAAAATAATTTTGTATAAGTTTCCCAGGCTCATAGAAAAATTTTATTATACAGCCCGGCCAGCAATATATTTTCAAAAATAGAAATAGTAAATATAAATATTATCTGATTTATTTTAAAAAAATATTACTTGTTAAATGATGAATTAAGTGAACAAAAGTCATCAAATAACATAAATTGCGAAAAATTTTCATGACAAAGAAAGTCGTTGAAGATAGCTTAGTAATTTATTGAAAAAATTTTGTTTGACATAAATTAAGTATTTTAAAAAAATTAAATTGTTTTAAAAAATAAGGTATATTATACACATATATATATACAGAAATATAAAATTGATTTTTATTTTTTATATTATTTATTTTATTTTATAATAAATTATTAAGTTTTTATCCTTTGTCTATTGTTACAATATTTGAAAGATTCTTGTAAGTGTAAAATAAACATAATATTTCATACAATTATACTTTACTATTACGGTTTTTCAGATATTGACCGTTTATGGCGCTAAAAATATAACCATTTCTTCTTTCTGATGGTGTTTTAATATGACTTTTTTCTTTAAAACCTTTTGATTTTTTTATTTTGGCGTCATAATTTAGATGGCCGATATCGGGAAAATGGTAATGGTACAAGTTGAACTGAAAACGGTACAGATCGGGTACAATTCCTTCTAACAGATAACCCATTATAAATCCAAAATTGCAAGACCAATTTCACGTTATATTATATTACCCCACATTTTTGTAATTTTAATATTTTTTAAATTTATAAAAACGGAATCTTATTTGTACTCATTTGTTTAATAAAATATTAATGCCACAAATATATTAATGCCACAAATATAAAATCATTAAAATTAAATAAAAAATTTTATAGCAAACGATAGAGAACTTTTTCTCATTCCTAACAATGTTGTAAAATCATTTTTATCTCCATTAGATTTTTCTACAATCATACTTTAATTTTAAAATATAGCGTGAAGTTAGTCCGACAATTTTGGATTTTCAATGGTCTCAGATGTACCCAATTTTTACCTATTCATACCGTTTCATTTTACAAAATAAAAATCATTTTAAAACATTATTTGGAAAGAAAAAGGGTTTTCTATTAATTGTTATCAAAAAAAACCTATTAGAGATTTTATATTTTGAGCGCCATAATTTTAACGGTCATTTCTGGAAAACGGTAATAATCGAGTATAATTCTATAATATTTTAAAAATGTAAAAAATTGCAAAAGTTAGGGGTTAACTTCAAGCTATATATTAAAATTAAAGTTTAATTTTGGGAAAAACTAATAAAGATAAAAGTACTCTTCAGCATCATTAGGAAGGAGAAAAGGTTCTCTCTCTTAAAAAATTTAAAAAAAAAACTTTTTTAAATATTTTTTATTTTTGGTATCAAATTTTATGTCAATATTTAGAAAATGGTAATAATGCAAATTAATTGAGTTTAAAACGGTACAAATGTGTAATACAAATCGATCCCCCTTTAAAAATTTAAAAAGGGTAACTTTATTCTATATTATAAAATCAAAGTTTGATTTTAGGAAAAACTAATGAAGATAAAAATTATTTTACAGCATCATTAGGAAGAACAAAAGATTCTCTATCGCTTGCTGTTAAAAATTTTTTAAATAAATCTTTTTTAGAGATTTATTTAGCACCAAATTTAACGGTCAATATCTAGAACACGATAACAAATTATTCTCTATCGGCCCATATACTTTTTTGAATATTTTAAAAACCGTGATGGTACAAAAACTATACAAATACATCCAAATCAGAGGCCTGCTGAGGTATCATTAGCACGGCCTGACCCAGATTTGAAAAAACAATTTCAGTCACCTGTTTTTTTTAAAAAAATTTCTGCCAGGCCGTGCTTTATACTTTCAGCCCAGCCCGTTTTTTTAAAAAAATTTTTCTCTGGCCTTGGTTAAAAAAAATTAAATTATACCTATTCGGCATTTTACGGATTGTTTTTCAATGAATATGAAACTTATATATACATTAAATTTTCAAATTATCTTATTTCCCCATTTGTCATAAAAGGAGTTAGTTTGAATCACCAAACTATCAATTCGACTGGTCGTTGGAAATTTTCTTATTTCCTGCTCCTCAAGTATCAGTCATTTTGCGTTCTATCCCTGGAAACATACGTAATTGCCTGAATTTGGGACAGAAAAAAGAGAGATAAAATGTTACTTAACTAAAATAAATTTATCCCTTACAAAATGGATTATATTTTTAAATATTGAGGATTGTTCTATAATACACAATTTTTAAATATATTTTATTTTATTTTATGGCAAATTAGGTTTGTGGCCCGTTTGCAGGTTTCTTCAAAAGATAAATCATCAAAATTAGAAATTGCGGGGCTAACTTCACGGACCTGGATTAAATTTTATTTTTAATTTCAAGCCAGGCCCGGATCAAAAATTTATAATTTTTTTCCGGCCTGATATTTTTTATTTTTGATCATTTGAAGGGCTCAGAATTTTCAAGATTTTGTTATTTTAAATAATTTTGGTTGTATTTTCAAAATTACAAAAGAAAATTAGAAATTAGAACTGTAAATAAATATTAAACACTAAATTATATAGTTTTTTTAACTAATTAATTCGTATAATTTTTTTGGCCTAATAATTATTTTTAGTCCTGGTCCACTCAATTTTTAAAATTTAAGCAGACCGGGTGCATATTTTTATTTTAATAAATTTTGCTTTCCTTTGCAATTATAATTAAAATTACTAGAAGATAGCCCGACAAAGATGACGAATAAATCAGAAACTTCTCCTTTATTTGATGAAAAATTTACTCTTTATGAATCACACTTTTACATATATTTTGAAAAGTGTTGATTCAGAAATCTTGCATTATTTTAGTAACATATATTAATGATATATGTGCTTCTATTTTAGAAACACATTATCAATGTCTTCTGCAAATATCTCATCAAATTCTATTGTCAGGGTCTAAAATTATGCATATTCAAAGTTGAACAACAAAATTAGAAATTTCCAACTTACAAAAATTTATTTTTTATTTTTTATTTTTTTTATTAAATTTTATGATTCGACAAAAACTTATCAACATTTAAAATTAATTTGAGTCAAATATTCTTCAAAGTTGATATTCAATATGCCCACGATTAGAGCGAATATATGCCTTAAGGCGATCTTGATTGCACGATCATCAACTTATTGATCAAAACAATTTCATTCCTCCACAAGTCACTTTTTGAGAAGGCTAACATTATGCGTATGCGGATTTGACAAAAGCTTTCTTGTAGGGCGCTTCATATCTTGTAGTCGACCGGATTAAGATCAGGGCTGTTGGGCAAAGAGTGGAAAATCTGGAATTTCTCTAAAAAGAAAATCCAGAGTTTCTCTGGTTCGGTGAGCTGGAGCAGTGTCCTTCTGGAATATGAAAAATTCAGTGCTCGACAATTCTTTAATCGCTGGCAATAAGTGCTCACTGAGTAAAACGTCACATGACTCCAATTTGTTTTTTCCCTAGAACCGCTAATAACAACCTATCATTTTGCAGATTTATCGGTGAAATTACTGTAAACAGCTTTTCATCCTTGAACCACATGAATTGAATTAATCTCTGAGGGTATCTTTGAAGAAGTTGTCTGGTATTAACCAGACAAGAAATTTTATTTGCATTCGTTAGGTTCTGAACTTGTTTCTTTTTTAAACATTTTAGCTGAAGCTCTTTATGAAATATTGAATCCACTGAAGTTGGCGAAATAAAAAGTTTCTCGGAATAACTTGACGAATTGTTCTGTAGGTTCCAGGTCGGTAAATACGAGTCTTCCAATAGAATCAACATTTTCCATAGTAAATGCTGTGTGTGGTCTACCACCACCCTTCCGTTTTCCTGTTAATCCATTTCTATTTTTGCAATCAATCGATCCAAAGATGCGATAAATCAGTTTGTGTTAGGAAATATTCCTTCAAAAACCTTTTGGGGTAGTATTGATATTCTCTTGTTTTAAAATTTTTATTAAACTCTAGACATCTTTACTGAAGACCATTATGTTTTATTACCCCTTGCATAAAAATGACTTAGTATTACACCATATATTTTAGTAAATAAGGTGTGCAGGTTGCAAAAAATAGTTTTTTTATCTTTTCATATTGAGTTTAAGAATTGTTTGTCCGACTTTGAATGTGCATAACTTTGGACCCTATTGATAGAATTTGATAGATTTGCAGAACACATTGATAATTAGCCTTCTATCAAATTAGCTTTATTGAATCAACTTTAGAATTAACAATTGCCGAAATAAAGAGGGTATCAGTGTTTAATTGGGGCACTGTGTATATTAAATAAATAAATTAATAAAATATTTATTTAGTAGAATCTTTAATATGAAGGTAAACTTTATTTATAAAAAAAATTAATTTATTATTGAAATTGAAATCGAAATTGTGCATAATGTATAAATGCGAGAATCATTTATTTTTTTTAATATACTAATTTTAAATTATCGATTTCATAATATGTCAAAAAATTGTCTTTACATTCAACATAAAAATCTTGTGTACTACATTTTTATACATTTGTATTTGTAAATTAAATTATAATCTAAAACAATTTAAACTCTAAGTGAGAGCTTGCATGCAATTTATTTTTCATTTATTTTTACCCTACAAAACCTTCACTTAGCAAGATCAAATTTTTTAGATTATGAATTACACATGTATAAAAATGTAGTCGAAACTCAAAACTATTTTTAGTGCATGTAAAGATAATTTTTTTTTTAAATATTATGAAATGAAATCAATAACTTAAAATTAGTGAATTTAAATTTACAAATATGTACAAATATTTGTGAAGGTATACTAAATATATATTTCATTAATATATTATAATAAAATAATTTCTGATTCAACTCTCATCAAAATAAAGGTAAATTTATGATTCATTATCATAGAAAAGTAAATTTATCAACATCAAATAGGAGAACTTTATAAATACATAGTATATCCCGTATTTTGTTGGAAGTAGAAATGGGCCAAATTAGAGGATATAATTATTTTTAAGGCAACAAGTATTCAATCGATTTATAGTAATGGGTTCATGAATCAATATGGGGTTTGGAAGAAACAATACAAAAAATCTAAATATAGGTTAGAGGAAAACGTAAAAAATAAA